CTCAAAATGGCTCATCTTGTGTTTTAACACTACGCAGCCTCTCGCCAAGCTCCCAGGAGGGTCGGGACACTTGAGTGACTGGATCCCAGTCCTGCTCGGCCAGCTTCCTGTCAAGAGTGGGGTTCAGATGCCCACACATGGTCCAGGAGACGGCACAGCAGGCTCCTCCAGATGCCCTCTGGGCAGAAGCTTCACTGCGAGAAAGCTGAACTGCTCGGGGTGGGGTGGGGGTCGTAACAGCGTGACCGAGGGACAGCCTCTGGTCCCGATCTGAGCCAACCCAGGCCCCACATCCCAGCATACTCGGGCTACGGGCAGGACCACAGCCTGTCATCTGAGGAACACGAAGGCAGGGAAGAAGGGGAGCCTGTGCCCGCCAGCAGACCCCCGGGCCCTCAGTGTGGGAGAAGGACTCGCCTTCCACGTGGAGGCCCCGCACATCCCCGCAGGAAGGCGTGCAGCGCTGGGGCAGGAGAGGCATCGCATCTCAGCACCTCTCCTCACTCCTGCTCTCAAAGGAGCGTTCTCTCAGCCTGAGTCAGGCCAGGCCGCTTCCTCAGGCCACTCATAGCTCTCGCAATCGTTACTCAGAGCCATAAAAGCCCCACCAGTCAGCAGTTTTACGTCAGAGCGCCAGGGCCGGGCTCTGGCAAAGTGCAGAAGGAACGGCAATAAAACCATAATGCGCGCCTCACCCAGCACCAGAGGGGCTCAGCGCGGGGGGCCGGGGGAGAAGACTTCCATTCTCCAAGTGAAAAGCTCATTTCACCACCGGGGCCAAGCCGGTCGGCTCCACAGGCGTGATGGGGGCCCCGCGGCGCCCAAGACCACACATGGGCTGGCGGGGCGGCGGCCGGGAGGGACGGGGGACAGCCAGTGACGTGGCGGGGCCAGCGGGCGGCCAGACAGAAGGACATCGCACGGCCCAGGGAGGCTGAGACGGACATTGGACTGAAGGGACGGTGGGGCTGAAGATGGGACAGGGAACCCCGGGCAGGGCCCTGCTCCGAACAGCAAATGGAACACGTTTGGTGTTAACTCTTCTCCTCCTCCCACAAATCCACTAAAACGACAAAACACAAACACTGACATGAAAGACTGGCAGTGAGTCTACACGGTGGGAACACGTGGCATCAGCTGACAAGGGGCAGGGAGGGACTTCCTGGAAGACGTCCGTCTGGGGGATCCAAATGATGGGGGACCACCAAGAGCGAGCAGGCGGTCACTGCAGCAGGCCACAGGCTTGTGGACTGTGGGGGGGCCGTGCCGACCATGGCTCAGCCCAAGCCCCAGCCTTCACCCCCCCCAGGGCTGGGATGGGGGGTGTGGATTGCAGAGGAGCCGGGAGAGACCCGCCAGCAAGCCCACCCTCGCATCGGCAGGTGCTACTGCCGGGCGTCAGCTACCCAGGCCGCTCCAGGACTGCCCTGGGAGGAGGGGGTGTCAGGCAGACAGGAGGAAGGGGGCCAGGCCGCGAGGCACCCCGGCCTCGCCAGCCCCATCCACCGAGAGGGACACGCGCAACACGCAGGACCCTACCGCAGTCAACAGCCACGGGCGAGGCCTCTGTGCGAGACACGAGGACTCTGGAAAGGAGGCGAAAGCAACACCCAGCCAGATCTCTGCTGTTCACGGGGACCAGCCTCGAGGAGGAGGTCTGCAACGGGAAGATACTGCTGCTGCTAAGTCGCTTCAGTCGTGTCTGACTCTGTGCGACCCCATAGATGGCAGCCCACCAGGCTCCGCCGTCCCTGGGATTCTCCAGGCAAGAACACTGGAGTGGGTCGCCATTTCCTTCTCCAATGCATGAAAGTGAAAAGTGAAAGTGAAGTTGCTCAGTCCTGTCTGACTCTTAGCGACCCCATGGACTGCAGCCTACCAGGCTCCTCCATCCATGGGATTTTCCAGGCAAGAGTACTAGATATAAGTGGGTGGAGAAGCGTTCGTCAGCCAAGAGAACCCAAGGGCAGAAACACTTTTAGGAGACTGATAACTCTGGGGCAAAGAGGCACGAAACGAGAGAAACACACTGTATTTTGTTACAAGACCGGGGCCACCAAGACACACTCGTTAGTTTTCAAGCACCGAAGACCACAGCCCCAGATGTCTCATTGTGGAAAGAATACACAAACTATCAGCATAAGAGAAAGTACACGTTTCTCTAGAAATCAGAGACAAAGAAGATAAAGCTATACTGATGTAGTAATATAATCACTGATTTAAGTAACTGAAGTTATTATGTATAGATAACACATAAAGAAAAATGCATACGTACACTCGTATATATAAATATACTTGACCTTTGAACAGCATGGGATTGAACCACCACACAATCTGCTTACAGCAGCATTTTTATGGTCAGTTCCACGCACAGCACCACACCATCCGTGACTGGCTGAATCCACAGGCTTGGAATCACAAATGCAGAGTAGCCAACTTCCGATGCAGGGAGCCAACTATAACCCACACATGGATTTTCCACTGTGCAGAGGCTTGGCACCCCTGACTCCCAGGCTGGCCCAGGGTCAACTGTACATAATGCACATGCATAAGAAAACTTCACATACAGTATTGATGCATACACACAGACTTCTTTAGATTAAAAAAAGAGCGAGAAAAAAAATAGGGGAAAAATAAAAGCATTTTTTCTCTTCAAATGCCTACTGGCATGTATGAGATTTACATCTATAGCAGCTCATAAAAAATCTGGTATCACCTCACACTGGTCAGAATAGCCATCATCAAAAAGTCTACAAACAATAAATGCTGGAAAGGGTGTGAAGAAAAGGGAACCCTCCTACACACTGTTGGTGGGAATGTAAATTGGTGCAGTCACTGTGGAGAACAGTATAGAGGTTCCTTAAAAACTAAAAATACTGACAGAACTGCTCTATGACACAGCAGTCCCACTCCTGGACATACATCTAGAGAAAATCATAATTTGAAAAGATACAAGCACCCCAATGTTCAGGGTAGCACTACTCACAGTAGCCAGGACCTGGGAGCAGCCTAAATGCCCGTCAACAGGGGAGTGCATAAAGAAGACGTGGTACATATATCCAACGGAATATTACTCAGCCACTAAGAAGAATGAAATAACGCCATTTGCAGCGACATGGATGGACCTAAAGATTGTCACACTAAATGAAGTTCAGACAGAGAAAAACAAACATCATACGAACTTATTTACAAAGAAGCACACTCACAAACTTAGAAAACAAACCTAAGGTTAACTAAGGGGAAAAAGGTGGGATAAATTACAGAGTTTGGGATTAACAGACACACACTACTATACATAAAATCGACAACACGGTCCTTCTGTACAGCACAGGGAAATGTACTAAATATTGTGTATTAGCCGAAGTGGGAAAAAAATCTGAAAAATAATAGATATATGTGTGTATATGTCCACCCACACACACACACACACACACACACACACACATATAAAACTAAATCACTTTGTACACCACAAATTAACACAACATTGTAAATCAACTACACTCCAATATAAAATAAAACTTTTAAAAATGTGCACCCTCATTTATACAGTAATGTAAATTCAAACAATAAATTTCCCCTGGCATGCCGACAAGAATGAGACAAACTGAATCCAGCTAGTGCTTCTGCAAATGAAGAAAAACACATATGTTCATAAACTAGGATTAAGGGGAGAAGTTGAGACAGCTTCTGGAGCCACGTGTAAAGGAAACAGTTTCCAATGCAGGTGCCCACCCACCCGGCAATTCTACTGCTGGGAACTGACCTAATGGAGATAGTCACAGAAGCGTGTGTACAAAATATATGAATAATAATTGTCTGATGATGATGTGGGGCTGTTCTAAATACCGCTGCAGCCACATAAGTATCTACCTATAAGCTACCAAAAACAAGTTAGGTGTATGTCCATGCTGACATCAAAAGATGAACATAAGGTACTAAATGGAAAAAAAAAAAAAGAAACAGAACTCCACAGATAGAATGATTAAAACATTTCTACACACACCCTGTATGTTCAGACACAGGAGAAAGGCAGGCTCCCCAGCTCTGAGTGGAAAATAGTCCACGTTCACCTACTTCGAGCCAGACTGTTAAATTACATTTTACACTCTGTGTCAGTCAATACATGAACAATCTAAACCAATAAAGCCTTCGTATCTAAATACAAGCAGGAACTCTGCTCTTGGAGCTTCAGAAAGCTCTGTTCAGGCCAGGAGAGGACGTGCGGGGGGCTGAATCCCAGGGAAGAGTGCAGACCAAGCCCCCCACTCTCACCAAGCGGGGACCCCAGCCACACAGACGGAGGCAGGGCCTCCAGGACGCCCCGCGCCTGCCCGAGTGGACGCAGGACAACAGATGTAAATGGCCCAGAGGCCACGCTGCAGCGGACGGTGAGGCCAGACGAGCCAGGGCTCGCTGCCATGGGGCGGCTGGGTGACTCGGTGACAGGGCTGGAGAAGCCTGAGCACATGTGTCCCTGCACGCTTCTGAACCCAAGAGCCGCACAAACGTGCTCCCCGATCCCACCCGGCCACGAGCTCTGTGGCCCCGGACCGGTCACCTCTTCCTGCCAGGTGGGGGACGTCCGGGGCCTGTGAAGACTCGCTGTGGGCAGGATGTGAGCGCCATGCCTGGTGAAGCCCTGGGCACCAGGAGTGATGCTTGCGGGTGCCCACCACCGAGGGGCATCGATCATGTCCAGCTCGGCCCAGAGGCAGCCCACCCCCACGGCCCCCAGAATCAAAGCAGCGGGAAAAGGAAGCGCTCTCCAGACCACGCATGGCCCTGCGCCCATTGCCTCGCACACTGCTCAAGTTGGCGCGCGGGTCAGGGCCAAGCCTGGACCCAACCCCCGAGAGGCCCCGCTCGTCTTTCTGCCGCTGAGACGGAGAGCCGGCTGCCCTGCCCTCGGGGCCGACCTAAGCCAGCTGCGCTGGTGATCATGAACACAGAGAGAGACCCAGGACCCAACCGCCACGAGGACCCAGGGTCCAGCTTACCTGGATGGCTTTGCGAGCTCATTGCGAGCAGCGGCTTCTCCTTCAAAAGATTCAAAATGGCTCAAAACTTCCACGTAAACGAGAGCTCCAAAGAGCCCAGAGTCCGAGCGGCACATACAAGTCCAGCAACGGGCAGGGCCGGCCCACAGCCACCGAAGCACCCTGGTCTCACTGACCACGTCGCAGGCCCAGAAATCCAGAGGAGGGCGGGGATCTCCAGGGGCTCTTAGGAGACAACCTGTGTGGGCAGAGAAAGGGGCGGCTTCAGTTAGGAAGTGCAGCCAGGACTCATTTATGTGCCTCCCCGCCCCTTCGGTGGATTGCTAAAACACTTGCGTGGACGCGATGTTTCTAGTCCTACAAAGTACAAGAAGGACTTACACACAAACGGGTCCCCTTCTGAGAGCCCATTCGTAACTCTGCTTTGTTCGTAAGCCCAACTGAGTTCGTCTACATACCCAACTTCACAGATAGCGTCAGACATGTGAACTAACTGATGTGACTTGACATGCAAACATGCATTTGCATCTTTGAAGATTCATGGTTCTAAGGCTCATAGGTGGGGGACTGGCTATACTTGAGGTTCTGTTAGTAAATATATTTATGTGGATATGTGTAATGTATCTGCAGCGCAAGCTCGGAACCGTTGACGAAAACCACTTTAAAAGAGAAATCACTTGGAGCCGACCTGATCCCCCCCACACACACATTTTTCCATTCTCGCGATATCCCCAGCAAAATTTCTGTTTTACATGGCGGCAATCTGAGAGTCTGTCTAAATTCAGCTTTGCTCACTTGTGCCCGCAACAGTTTCCCAGGTCTCTATCTTCACAATAATCATTTCCCCGATTCATTCCCATGTTCTGATTTTAAGAGTACAACACGCTCATCACAGAAGTGTCTAAAGAGCCATCCTGACGCCGTGACACATGGGCAGACGCTGGGTAGCATTTTGGTGCGTGTCCTTGCCACTGGGCTGCGTCACCTTTCCCCGCACAGACTGCTGGCTCCACAGTCGGGCACCCTGCCCTCTCTGCCAGCATGACGGCCGGGAACTCCCCGGCGTCAGGATCCGCTCTTGGGAACAGTGCTCTGAGGCTGTGCTGGGAGCCCCCTGCCTCCTCCCCCACCACGGGCAGCTCTGACAGCCCTGGCCGTCAGATCACAGGCCCTGTCCCCAAACCCCTGGAGGGTGACACCTGACGGACACCAATCCTCCTCCCAAGTCCAGCCTCTTCCCCAGATCACAGTCAGTAACAGAGGAACCCATAGAAACGGGGGCACGAACGCCCAGTGCCGAGCGTCTGCCTCTGCGCCACGGCATCACCTAGGACTCTCTAAATCCCTTGCTGTGATGAGCATGTGTTACAACTGGAATATAGACATAAACTGAGAACACAGTGACTATGAAAATCCTCATACTGACCCTGGTCAGGGTTCCTCTAAGGCTTATTATCTGCCCCTTTAACAGTGTGACAAATTCCTGTTCTTGATTAAACTGTTCAAGGATTTCCACCCCTATTGCTTATAACCAAAGACCTCTAACCTATTTATCATGTAAAGAACTAAATCTCAAAAGGTGTCTGCTTAGATGGTACCCAGTAACACATCACCGACAACGGACCAGCATCTTTGTGATTATTGTTCTGTACATGGTTACTTCCATAGGAAACACAATGACTTATCTCACGTTCAGAGTTTTTATTATTCTCTTGAATAGATGAAGATATAGCACACATATACAACAGAATATTACTCAGCCATAAAAACAATAAAGTAAAATAATGCCGCTTGCAGTAACATGGATGAACCTATAGATTATTATACCAAGTAAAGTTAAGACAGGAAGAACAAGACAAATACCATCTAATATCACTTACATAATCTAAAATAAGACACAAACAAATATATCTGCAAAACAAAAAGACTCACAAAGAGAACAGGCTTGTGGTTGCCAACTGGGGAAGGAGGCGTGAGGGAGGGATGAACTGGGAGTTCTGGATGAGTGGACGCCCACCATCATTAATATATACAGCAAGGAAACAAGGTCCTACTGTGTAGCACAGAGAAGTATGCTCCACACCCTGACAAATCAGGATGGAAAAGAATATGAAAGGAAACATGTCTATGTGTAACTGAGCCACTCTGATGTACAGCAGAAATTCACCCATTGTAAATTAACTGCACTTCAGTAAAACTTTAAAAATAAACAGAGTTTTTATTCATCTCTTGACCAGAAAGAAGCATTGCAGTGCTGAAAGCAATGTAGGTGGTATATTTTGCAAACTCTTACAAATCCCAGACTGCAAGGAGATCAAACCAGTCAATCCTAAAGGCAATCAATCCTGAATATTCATTGGAAGGACTGATAATGAAGCTGAAACTCCAATACTTCAGCCACCTGATGCAAAAAAGCAACTCATTGGAAAAGACCCTGATGCTGGGAAAGACTGAAGGCAAAAGGAGAAGGCAGAGACAGAGGATGAGATGGTTGGATGGCATCATCGACTCAATGAAAATGAATTTGAGCAAATTCCTGGAGATAGTGAAGGACAAGGAAGCTTGGCATAATGCAGTCCATGGGGTCACAAACGGCTGGACACAACTTAGCAACTGAACAACAACAAATCTCAGATGGCTCTGAATCCTCCACCCAAAAGTCACAACTTGGCTGGGTATAAAAGTCTGGCATCAGAACGCTTTCTCCCTCAAGGCCTTAGCTGCCATCCTGCCGGCAGACACAGAAAACCTCTGACCAGCCAGGTAGCACTTCCTTTCCAGGAAACCTCTGGGGGCTGATTTCTGATGCTTTCTTCTGTCTGCATTCTGCCAGGATTTTGTTGTTACTTTAATCTTGAAATTCAAAAACACTGTCAGGAGATGTATGGTAAGAATCTCTTTTCATTTATCTTGCTCCAAACATGAACCTTTTGGTACACACCGGTCTTCTCTTCTGCTCAGGAAAATGCTCTTTGATCACGTTTTGGTGACTACTTTGCTACATATGTTTTGGCGTCTTCAGAGCTCCCCACGCCATCTGGCTGGAGCCAGAAGCCCGTCGTATCCAGCTCCTCTCAGCACACTGCCTCGTGGTTTGCTCCGCATCCCAGGTGCCTCGGCCCGAGTGGTCCCCATGTCACTGCTGCTAGGTCCCAAGGTCTCCATTCATTCCGATGGCTTTGCATACAGATTTTAACCAAACCTTAAGCTCATGTCTTCAGCCATCTCTTTTATGACTCACTCTGTTACCTTCTCCTCTCAGCTGAGTGAGTCCCTCCTCACGATCTCTGCTCTGCGTGTATTTCTGGCCACAGCCTTCTGAAACTTCTTTTTTTCTGATTCTGATGACTGACTGTTCTCTTCTGCCTTTCAGGAGAGTTCCCTTTCCACCACAAGCCAGAATACCTTCTGGCTGAGCCTCCGTGGTAGGGATTTACTTCTGTTTGTTTATCCTCAAATGAACATAACTGTGGTCTAGATCTGAGTTTTGCCCAAAGACTGTGTACCTCTGATCCTACTCCTTCTCTGGCCACTGCGACAGTAGCTAAAACGCTTCTCAGAGCCACCCCTCTGGCAGCTGACATACACAGAACCCAAGACAAGTGCTCAGCGTCAGCAGGCTCTCAGCTAGCACAGGGCTGAGGGGCTGAGACAACCCAAATGCAGACAGAATGGGACACAGAAGAACTGCTACAATACAGTTATTATCTATATAAGCTCCTTCTGTCTTAAGAAGCTTCTGCTATAATACAATAATGCACTCTGGGAAAAATGCACACTCCAAAACTTGTAAACAAAACTACCAAGGTTTATTAAAAAAAAAAAAAAAGGTTGGAGCAGACTATCAAAAACTGCAATTTAATAACTAGGATACTACAAAATCAATACTAACTCTAGTTTTAAAATCATCAGTTTTTAAAAAGACATGTAAAAGTGCTAATAAATAAAATGTCCAGCAAAGGTGGAGTTTTATAAAAGGTGGCAACGTTTTGATGAGAGAGGTTAAAAGGAAGAACTGAAGCTTCTGAGTCATGGAACAGGGGACAGAACACATAAAGATGGAGAAAACCACGCAATAACCAATTTCGAGAAAGAGCACATGGCCAAAAGCAGCAAGAAGTAGGAGCCGCGGTGGGGCAGGGGGAGTGGGTGTGAAGGCAGACACAGATGCAGGGAACCCTTCCAGGGTCCTCAGTGGTCACACCCTGTTCCTTGAAGGTAAGAAGCATCGCTGAAGCAGGAAAACAGCTCGATGTCTGCATCACACCGACACCTCCCCACCAGGTTCTGGGAGGACATGAGCTACCCTGAGTCACAAGAACATGCCCTGTTCCAGGGCGGGATGTACGTGAAAGAACCGTCGCAACCCCAGTGAATTCATTTCTTGCTGCCGCAGAAACAAAGGACCACAGACTGAGTGTGTGAAAACTACAGAAATGTATTGTTCACGGTCAGGAGCCATGAAGTTTTCAAAAGTCTGAAGTCTGGGTGCTGGCAAGGCCAACCTCCCTCCAAAGCTGCAGGGAAACCCGCCCTGGCCCCTTCCTGCCTCTGGGGACTGCTGGCAGCTTTGGGGTCCCCGGGCCAGCAGCTGCAGGGCTCCAAACTCTGCCTTCCTCATCTCTTGTGTGTCTGCCTCCACTTGGCCGACTTCCGAGGACACAGTCACACAGGATTAGAGGCTCAGCTGACCTCAGCACGACTTCATCTGCGTTACATCTGCAAGGACCTTGTTTCCACATGGGGTCATGCTCTGAAGTGCTGGGGGTTAGGACTGCAACGTAGCTTTTGGGAGGGAGGCACAGTGCCAGCCCTAATGCCCAGGACACACGGCGCCCAGACCTCCCCCCAGGGGCTCCCCGCCAGCCTCGTGTGACGCTGACAGTCCCCTCAACTCACAATCCCCTCCACTGCAAGCAGACCACATCCCACACAGGCCGGCTCCCGCTGGACACCCCTAACACCACGAGGCAGAGAGGCAGAGGGTCTGGAGTGCGGCCCCGCGTGGCACAGGGCCCGACG